ACTTTCCGGCCATACAAAACTTGAGAAATCCATCTGCAACACAGTCAAGGGTTAAGTCGTACTACACCCTATAAATTTAGCCAATTCCAAACCACCGATCTGATATTCCAAAGCGGCAGCAGGCGAGTGGGTAGATATACTCCATCGGAATCCACCAAAGGCCTGGATATGTTCCACAAGTCCTAGAGGCGAGCGTGGAGATACCAGTTCTTTAATACGAGCTCATGTAAAGATATTGATAGTGAAATAGTGAATGTGCTTGTTTCATCTTCATATATTTCTTCTTATCAACGCATAAACATGACACACGATGTTCCGTGATTTCCGCAGCTCTGATAATACGCTGGACATATCTGTTGATTGCCTTCGGTATAACTATAGGTGATCACCTAGTCATACCCACATTTCACATCTCGCTTCAATTCATCGGAAGAAGTAACCTTCAAAACTATGAAAAGGCCAGTTTTGCAGAATTTAAACGTAAGGTAAATCAGTCGAAAAAAGCCGTTCTCTTGAAATTCGGACCATTTTCTTTTCTTCTTTCAGGGCGAAGTAGAGACGTTTACGACGTCCCCAAGTCTACACAACAATTCCTCTAATTCATAGTGACCGGACGTGAGCTCCGCCTACCAACAGATCACACACTCAACACCTTAGCGGACAATCAGCTGTTAGCGTCCCAACACATCATTCTACTGTGAATCAACTGAAACCAAGCTCGTAAGCAGAGAGATGTACTGTGAACTCAGCAATGACATCAGGAGGAATACCACGTTAATAAAGCACACTAGACGCTGGTGCATCTAGGGGGTATGATCCTACTATTAGAAGAAACATCACCACGGGGAATGGCTTCTAAGTTTCACAGAAAGTGGGCAGGACCTTCCACTATAATGGAAGTACTTGGTAGTACTACATGTAAGACTCAAGGCAGCACACCTAGCCAAACCTAGTGATACACCATTAGCAAGCTTAAACCCTATCAGAGTCTTGTAGCAAATAAACTCAGAGGTTCAGAGGCCAGAATTAGCACTGAGGGCTATACTTTTCAGGGTAGGGATGTAGTGTGAGGCAGATCAGTTGAAAAAAAGCGGTTGTCTTTAAATTTATACTAATTTCCTTCTTTCTTTCAGGTCGTAGTAGAGCGAATTACGGATTGGCTGTGAGGAAAATGGAATCCGGCAGCCACTCACAAGCTGCTGTAACACCACCTCAGTGTAATATGATCGGTTAAAAATACGGAGATTATTGACTTAAGTGGTGGATCTTGCTAACCCGATCACTTGTTTGACTGACTGCTAACGTATGGTTGTGTATCTCTTTCAGGTTGGATATCGTTTAAATTCCTGATGTAAATTGCGCTTTTCGAGTTTGCTTTTCGTCCTCAGACAGGCATATCTTTTGAAAAGATGGATCTTTCTGATGTTATGAAATAATGTATCCGCGTCACTGTAAGGGTTATCCATACTTCCCGCAAATGAGAAAGGCACTTAGGTATTAGCATTTTTTAAATAAGGTGGTTTGTACTTATTGTCCCATGTAAGTCGGCTTAGGTTTCTGTTTCCTCGGTTAAGAATGGATATTCCTAATTCAAAGAATAACTGTGTTTTCTTACTGGAAACCTGTGGCTAACATTTTCCAGTAATCTCTATCAAATTTTGGCTGTTATGTTTCTGATAGTATCTGGATTGACTAGTCTGACAAATAGTCACTACTGTTTCACTCAAGCGGTCTTATATTTAAGATTCTTGATACCTAGAATTGTAGTATTACCAAATGAATATATAACCTTTGCACAAGACGAGTGTATAGGGGTGATAGTAAGTCTTAAAAGTGCTCAGTTTTTTTCTAACACCAAGCTGCATGGCATTAAATTACTTGCAGCCATATTTTCCTTTTTATCATCTCACGTTAGTTTAATTCATTACTTAAGATTACGTACTGTCGTCATTCAAATCAGTTAAATTTCAGGAGAAATTACTGATGGACTAATATTAGACAGATACTTATGTTATCTGTATGTTTAAACTATCGAGAAAGACTGGGCTGAATGCCTACAACATAAGGGTGAGATGTATTAAGAATGACCACTAGGTACAATTGTCATGAAGTGTGATTATGTCACACTGATTGGCAAATTGTCTTGATGGTGTTTATTGTTTGGTGGTATCATATCATTTTGCAACCCAAATTTATTAGCGCGTACACAAAAACATGATACAATTTAGAAGTTTTTCTCATTTTACTTACTTACGATAAGTGTTTGATCTTTTATAGACTACTTTTTGGTTTCCGTATTAGTAGATATAGAGGAAAACTCATGAGTGTTTTAGTTTGGTGAATACACTGACTATTAATTCTACACTAGTTTATATGATGATATACATAGCTTATATGATGTTTATGCTATCCAGTTAAAAATATAATGGGCTGCTGGAAGAAGTATGCACTGTGCTAAAACTCTGGCTGGATTCAGAGGTGTTTTAATAAATTTTACAGCTAAAACTCTCCGGCTTACTAAAAACATCACAATTCTAACCGTGTAGACCCTCTACAGGTAGTAAGGCGGCTAGTTATAGAGATTAAATGTGTATCCAGCTATAATTTCCTATTTCTATGATTGAAATATTCATGGTCTTTGAAAACCGTTTTCTTATTCCTATGATGATCTTTTTAATTACTACTTCACTGACGGTTGTGGTAAGTTTCAATTTGTAGACTTGAAAATACATTTTAATATTAGAACCACAGCGTATAGTATAAGTACAGCAGATGACAACGTAAGCATTTTAGGATTTGTCCCGATACAAACTTGACAGACTCAGAGACTAATCATTAATTATTCGTATTTAATATATACCCGCAAATGCGAGACCAAGGAAGAACACACACACACACGTAGTCGGATGGAATAATATATTTGCGAGGTCGTTCCAAAATACCGATGCGTTCCGACTAGTTGAGTAGAGAGTCGATTACGAGCAGTGCAACGTAACACGACAAGGTGCCAAATGGTGTGGATGCTTGACCGTGTACCTTCAGCTTAGCCAGTCCGGTAAAAATATGAAGGTCAGCGTCAGTGTTGAATCTCATCGAACCCTAGGCTATTGATTCTGGAGGAGTGTGTGACGCTACAATTTCACCAACGTACTTAGTTCAAAAATGATACAAATAAAATATTCTTATATCTAATAATGATCCCACTGGATTGTATGTTAGGTAAGGTGATTCATAAGAATTATGCGAAGTCCTGTCCCAGGGATTTATTGTTTCGCCATTCGAGTAGTCAAACCTTCGTTTTCACAAATGATTTGGAAAATACCATGACTCCCGCATATGTGACAATCCGTTCAGATACAGAATCACTAATGTCAGTAATGCTAGATGAAATGGGGATAAATATCATCTTATAAGCCTATCAAAGTGTTTTGTTGTAGTAATTGTATTGATGACTCTTGAAAATGTGAATAGGAACAGGGTTTATGATTAAATAGGCGAATAAAAGTGTGAAAGATAGAAGAATAGTACATGAAAACTAATCTTCAAGAACAATTGGGCAGTACGCTTGTTGATACTTCTGACAAACAGTTAAGCGGAAAGATACATGTTCATGCAGCGGATAGTAAGAGACAAAAATTAAACCAAAGACAACATTCATTGGAGTTTTAAAAGGCTCTGATAGTAATATTTCACATCGGATTTCACACTTAAACAATAGTTATAAAATTGTACAAAATTATTCCAAGTTCTCATACTTACTTTATTATTTTATCATTACTGCAAAACTATGATGAAAAAGAGTAAATGTATTGAATTAGGCGTTGGACATCTCTAAGATTTGAGCGTAGGGCTGAACTTATATGAATCCAGTTAGGACAGCAGTAAACATTATGAACAAAAGTAGTATCAATAAATGTTGTTATTTTGAAGCGTTCTTCGCAAATGGAATTACTGAGTGAGACAATCTGTGGAAAGTGGTTTATCCTGTAGTAGTGTACTTATAAGGAGCTAGCTGTGTTGTTGTATGACCTAACTCGTAACTAGTCCTATATAACCTAATATACGCCATTACCAAACTAATCAGTACCTTATCTAAGTGTAAGTACTGATAAAGGACAAATAAAAAAGCACGCTAAAAAAGTAGAAAGTTCTCAGAAGAGCAGTTTATTTATTGCTTTGAAGTAGAATGGTTATTTCTGGGGTTAAACGTCATGACTTGTCTGTCTACAGTTGTCTGAACTATGAACTCTGAGTATGTAGCAGTTGATCAGCACAATGAAAACGTGGAAATGAGGAATGTTAATGGATCAAGACAAAAGTTATAAGACTAAGGACAGATGCTGAAACTGTAAGAGATTATTTAGCTAGCAGTTGTATATCTTAAGTATATTGGTACCGAGACAGTGCACTACTTACTATTGGAACATAGAAAGCGTGTCCAATAATGTTCTTTTTTTGGTTTGGTAGTTTTTATAATCCATTGTCTCTACGACTTATTTCACTCTTCAGAACTTATTTTTATCGGACTGGCTAAGCTGAAGGTACACGGTCAAGCATCCACACCATTTGGCACCTTGTCGTGTTACGTTGCACTGCTCGTAATCGACTCTCTACTCAACTAGTCGGAACGCATCGGTATTTTGGAACGACCTCGCAAATATATTATTCCATCCGACTACGTGTGTGTGTGTGTTCTTCCTTGGTCTCGCATTTGCGGGTATATATTAAATACGAATAATTAGTGATTAGTCTCTGAGTCTGTCAAGTTCGCAGAAGGACAATTCCTAAAGAACAAAAGTAATGCAAAATTTTTAGACAACCGTATTTTTGTTTCACTATTTTTCTAATTCAGCCTCACCTAGGATTATAAAGAAATGATGTTATTTACCTATATTGCACTACAAAGTGACAACCTGGTTGATAATTGAGAGATTGTAGAGTTTTCATTGTTGAATAAGAAGACTCCATGTCACCCCCAGCTCAGTAAGACAATAACGGTATCATAATATAAATATATGTATATATGTATATATTCAATCAAAAAAAATGCGATGACATTTTAAATGTAACATAATTATTCGTATTTAACTGCGGCGTAAATTACTATAAATGATTAAAAGCAAGATAGAAGAGTAATAAATGTTTCCGGTTTATGAGATGTAAAACAAACATCAATTTTATTTTAATTAGAAGAGAATAGATAATAATGGTAGAATGGAAAGCATAGAAAATGTAATTAATTGCACAGGTACTTGTATTTTTCCACTGGAATTGCACAAATCATCTTGACAGCATGAAGTGACAATGCCTGAACCAGATCTTCTGGCATCACCTTCAACACATACAGGAACACAACTTCGACTTGTTACTTGTAATCTGTTTTGAATATACGTTCTAATAGTCTGTAAGTAAAGAAGAAAAAGGATATTACAAACAATATCGTTGTAATGATAATTTTTCATTATTGTTTTGAACAATATCCCTATAATAAAACTTACTTGGAGTTGAACTTATGACTACTCAGTCATAGTTTATCGCCTTATTGCTCAAATTATGTACGTTGGTTAAATATGTTTGTGATAAATTCCAATGTTTTGATACAGTAGGCTTTCATTTACCGGAAAGATTAATCCAAAGAAGTACTGAACAGAGTTCTTGGCACATGAATAACGACAAGCAAGATCAATTTTTCTTAAGAGGATCACTTATTATTTTCATGGTAGTTTTCACGATACTTCAAGATAGATATCTCAAAGTTCTAATGAGAAACCATGATCTGTGAGGTCAACCAACCAGTTGGAAGTGAAAACCTTGGTGGATAGTCACGCTACATCATGAATTGTCAGAAGTAAGAAAATTGTAACCAATGAACTCTGATCCAGTGAGAGCTGAATGCCCTGAGTTCAGTCTCTGAAGGGGCTACAGATGCGAAATTCTGAGGAGTCCCGTACTAGTACAAAACGGTTGTCCAGTACTCGCAGGTTTTCAATGATTCTCTGATTGATGTCAATCCGTAGTAAATACTACCTTAAAAACAAAATCCTCATAAACCCAAATTACATTACTAGTTTGATTGTCAACTTATTAATATTATTTATTGATATGCTAGAAATTCTCCGTTGTTTTACTCAATCAGATTGTTCAACCTCCATTGTCATATGGGCCCCTATACGGATGCCTTGATGTTGCCTGAATGTTAATTATGGTAAGTGACTTGGTTTGTGGCTAGCGGAGGAATCGTGGGTGCGCGTTTCGTCCTATTTGGGACTCATTCGTCAGCTGGATGTACATGCACCCCAGTGAGTGATGTTATTCCCGCCGAGACTTGAACCCCGTACCCATCGCTTCAAGCTCCAAGGCGTTATCCACTATGCCATGGAGGCACGACAGCCACCTCTTGTACAATGGATACTAGTTGTTACTATTTATTGATAGGTTTGTAAATCTCCGTTGGAGCAATGGATACGAAGTTCGAGTCTCAGTAGGAACAACATCGTTCACTGGTGTGCAGGTACATCCAGCTTACCAATGAGCCCCAAATAGGACGAAATACGCATCCTGGATTCATCTACTAGCCATAACCAAGTAAACCATCTAATTTTTAGTTACAATAAAGTCAAGGTGACTAATCTGCCTCAAAATTATCGCAAAGATAATTTCTTTTCCTAATCGTTTTAGATGAAACTGATTAATACTACAAACGAAATATCTAGCTGAATAATTTCATTTACATAATTTTTGAAGCAGGCTAAGCTTATTCATAGAAATACGTAGTATAAAAACATTCTAATGGTTTTTTCGACAAATTTATTGTTTGCTTGATAGTAGCTGCAGTGATTTCTGTTGATTTTTAATTACATTCATCGGTTGAAAAGTCTTCAACCTGGTTGACTGTAGGGCGTGCTGACAGGACAAATCGAGTAATTCACACCCCTATTTCGGTCACTTATATGTAGTATTGAGAGATATGAAAAGAGTTATATATATATATATATATATATATATATATATATATATATATATATAAGCACAGCAAATTATTTGTGTTTATATTTTCCTTTGGTGATCATGATCAATCTGTTCACGGACAAAAACTTTATCCAATGCTATTGATCCATTTCGCTTATGATATTAGCTTCATAAATTTTAACTGTAAGCGATCCCATGGAAAAAGACAACAAAGTACATTTCACATCACTTACAGAGCAAAATGAACAACCATTTTGTACTTCACTTGTTTTAAGTTTGAATGGTTCTTCACACTTACTGCATACATAACAACGGTGACTTGAAACTGTGAATAAAGAAAAATAAATGATTAAAGAATTTCTGTTTTAATTTGTAAAAAGGATTGGAAATTTGTTGACTTGCTTTTAAACGTGATTAGATTGTTTATTGTTGCGTGAATAACTATAAAAAAGTTTACTGTTCTGAATCATGTTGATTAGCATTCACGTTTATGATAAAAGTGATCCTTTTTAAACAAACTCCATTAAAATAATTCAACTGTTATGAACCTGGATTGTACACAAGAAGAACATCAGCTTTTGAATGTAAAGTGTTTGTTGTATCCCTGTGTCTTGACTACACAAACTAACAGTTCACCCATGCCATCCACAGGTGCTACTGCTGAACAACTTAAGTAGTAGTACCTTCGACTAGTTTATGACACTTTTGTATCGAAATTACACCTTATAATCGTGACTGAGTGGTTTTCAGCGGAAAATTTGTTGACACACCCAGTTGTGTAGTTGAAAAACGACTCAGGTGTGAGAAATGTCTACATGAACCGTACAATTTGTAAATTATTTTCAAATTCATGACATGGGATCCCATGGCATCCACAGATTGGCTTTAACATTTGTAGGCATTCCTGAATATTCAAAACCGTAATTTATTTTCGGAATGATTTACTTCGTGGATATTTTAACAATAAAATCACTATACAAAGTAGTATATAACTGTGAAAACTGTCAGAAGAGTAGGGAAAGCTTATTTCGTTAGATACCACCATTCGTCAAGTATTTTTATCTGTGTATCAAATAAGCAAACAGTCCTACTATTAATTATTGTAGATATTACAAGCTAGTCTTCACTGAAGTTTCTCATTCATCTTTTACTCAGAATTAGTCTTATCAAGTGATAAAATATTAGAAAACAAAGATTTCTGCGAAGAAAGTTTCTCTTTGCGACGTTTTCATTTTCAAAAGTTGTACAACTGTATAAGTTGAGGTAGACAACAACAAATTTGCCTGTGTGTGCCTCATTTTTACACTGAATGAGATCGTAAAGTATACTACAATGAGTGGGGATAATATTTCATACAATTCTTCACTTTCATGAATTTGAATAAAGCAAGAAGAACAATAGTAGCAGAATTAGCATGCATGTACTCAATGGATCCTCCACAGCTGATTTACAACTTATAGAATATAATGTTTATGATGAATAATATTGATAAATCGACAGTATCTTATAAGAATTAAGATAGCAGGTAACAAAAATTTAGGTTGACTGACATTAATGAGGTTGTTAAGACTAGTCAAAGGTGAACTGTTTATACAGTGCTAAAATGAACATTCAAGAGATGATGGGAAGAAGGAATTATGAATACATATGCATATAAATGGGAGGTAAGTGTGGACAATATTATCCTAGAATTAGTAAAAAAAAGTCATGATTAAGTAAATGTAGTAAAACGTCAACAAGATTTCATTATATTGAGAAATAAGATGAATAAAACTCAGAAAATGAGAGTAGGTTTTGAAATAGATCGAAATCTTGTACTTGAAAAATTTGGGAGATTAAAATTACCAAGGTAATGCGAAATTATTAACAGTATCTTTTCGAATACATAGATGAGGTATGAGTTTTTTAATTGTAAATGCTTCAAGAAACTGTAGAAGAGTAGGTTTCTGTTATTTATCGACCACTTTGAATGACCTTAATACATCGACTTTATATCTAGCATCAAGCAAATGCCAGGTGATCGCACTATTTAAACTCTGGGTACCCTTAAGGCTCAAGTTCTTCGGGATATGTTCAAAAATGCAGACAAAAACCCTATTGTCTCTTATTCCAATGTATGTGCTATGATATGTATATATGAATTGGTAGATGCAGTTGAAGGTAACAAGAATTGGGAACTTGTCTCAATAAGCATTTAGTCTGATACACATAGGCTAACTTGATGGCTGGATAAGTGACTTTTATTATAGCACTCAATTTATGACTCATCCTTAAGGTGATTTAATTCCTTTTGAAGGCAAGGTGTAGATAGATGGGCTTCTTGTCACCTGAAATGCACTTAATTCTTTTCTCTTCTGTCCTACAGTACCTATCAATGGACGTTTTTATGGAACCACTTCTGCGTAGACAGTTTTTTCTAAGGACTTTTTTTCTGAATATTTTTTTAAGAGCACAGTTTACGCCTATGACTGAAAAGTGTTCTTATCAGACACTTTTTATAACTGATTGGGCAAAAGTTATTGAAGTTTAAATAAAATCCACTCTACGTGTCTTTCCGATGAATGTATCTATAAATCTTTCCATTTGTAAGAAGCTGTAGGCTGAGGTGTAGGAAGTGATATCTGTTGTTGTTATGTTCAGTTCCCATTATGAATGTTATATTGGGGTACACTTTATTAAAAATGTTCAGTATTCATGAAACATCGATTCAGTTAAAAAATTTAGGAGAATAAAGGTCAACGACACAAAATAGAAGGTAAATGAGTGAATGAATATGGTGTGATTTCATTTTGAAAGTAGTTGGGTAAAGATCAAGTGAAACAACAAATTTGATACAATAGGGATTCAGAGAAGTGTAAGTACCATGAGAAAACAAAATAGATTGAAATAAAATAAAATAAAGAAGAGAGAGATGTATGAAACATGTGGTCAAAATTAATAACTTGCATCCAAGCTAGTGAAACGGATCGTACAAAATGATTTTATACACATAATTCTGCTGTCAGATTATGTACAACCAAGACTTCTGAGATACAAAGTAGGCGTATACGTACACCTTTCGATAAGTTAGGTTTGTTCTTGTAAACAATGTCAAATGATGATTCAGAAGCTGCATGATTACAATCAACTACACGTTGCTCAGTCTTACTAGGAAGTTCTCTAGAATGCGATGGCAAATATTTTTGAATGAACCTCCTATGTACCCAGCTCCACAAACGCAGGTGAACACGTAGGTGGTATTTTCTTCTTCATCAATGCTGAAGTGTCATCTCTTATTGAAGGACGTAACGAGTTTTATGTTTGGAAGGAAAAGATTATATTGATAAAGAGTTATGTCAGTCAGCTGCAACCGGAGTACTTATGACATTGTAACTCCTAGTTGTATTGTGTTCTCTGAGCTGGGTTGTTTAATCGTAGTGTTGTCATTATCTTTGTAGACGATGCAACAACCAAAGAAGACAAACCGATTACCATTTACAAAATCAACTGCAATAACTGTAGTCAACACTACATTAGACAAAGTTGCCGGCCTCTTCGCCTTCGTTCACATGAACACCAATTGGCTATTAAACGCCACGACATTTCATCACTGATTTCAATGCACATGGATAATTATGGACATGAATTCAATGCAGAAGTTTTGGATGGAGAGAGGAAACACAAAGAATATCAGAGAATTCCTAGGAGCTTGGTATTCAGGTCAGTCAGTCAGCAATCAACAGACGTATAGAAATAGACCCGATCTATCAACAAATAAGAAAAATGACAAATGACAGAAAGCTCAGAGGTGAAGCAGAGGAACAGTCAACAGGAAAGTCCGTACAATCAATGACACAACAATCGAAGGAAACAACCAATCACAGACCACATCGTCAGAGCAAACCAATAAATCACTCATGAAGAGATATTGACAGGTCACTTCATACTGAAGTTAGTGCTGAAGATATCGTCTAGCAAGACGATGAAAGCTCCATGATTAAACAACCTAGCTCAGAGAACACAATACAACCAAGATCATCCACCAGAGCTACAAGTATTCTCCAAAATTGCAGCTGTTTGTCATCTTGAGATGTGAACAGAAAACATCTACAGATAGCATAACTGTATTGGGTGTTGTTGGTCAGAATGGATATAAGTAGTTTATGTTGAGAGGGCGACAGAAATCATAGGCAATTACCAGCAATGGGTAAAGATTTTGCCCAGAGAAATGCAAGAGACAGTGTGGGCGTATTAAGAGCAAATCCATATATATACACGTAGTTTTCACAAACATAAAAATGTACTAGATCAAAGATATAGTAAATTATACTGATTGACTTCCTGATATACAAAATCACCCATTACAATTTATTCTGAACGCACAGTATAGCTAAATATTTCAAGGTCAAAGATTTCTACTCTATTAACCAATGACTTGAAATGTTGAATTCCATTCAAGCTGTTTCCTACCATACTTTTTCCAGAATCAGATATTTTAATTATCATTTTAGTCAGAACAATTTTGAAAAATGAAGTGCCTCATGTGAATTTTAAATCATGTTGCCGTTAACTTGGTGAAATGCTGAAACGTACTGTCAGAAGTAAATAACTATTACTAATCCAGCCGTGGTCCAAATTTTCACTTCACCTTCAATAATCACCCAGTATAAATACTAGTCTGCCAAACCAAGGCTATCTCAGATAGTCAAAATGTTAGCCGATATGATGTCCCCCGTCACTAATTCAGTTACATTTGGATTGGGATGAGAAATCCTGACTAGGCAGCGGCAGGAACACGTTACGAATTCACATGGTAGTCAGACGAAACACTTGATGACTGAAGTGAAATAAAAATTTGGTCTGTAGTCGGACTGTGCAGGTGAGCATCAGGCCGGAAACCCAGTGGTCGCTGGTTGGAATCCGGCCGCGGTTCAAATTTTCATTTCACCTTCAATCACCACACAGTATAAATTGAAAGTAAAGTTGGTTTATTTTTTTCCCAATGGACTATCATGTTGTATACTAAAAAAATATTTTCTCATTTTGGGCAAACTGAACTGATAAAATACAATATGTAATTATTTTGTTTAAACGAAGTTAGACGGCCTCAAGATGGTTCTCAACCAACCTTCTTTTCATATTTATGAATATCGATGTCATATGACATTAAACATGTAATTTTCTCATGCAGCTGATATTACCTGGATGGTTATTTTCGCACAAAGCCATATACATTTCTAAAATTATAAGTGAATCAGTATCTATCATAGATAAAAACTGTAACACGTCAAAACCTACAACATGTTTATCATGAATGACCAAACATACAATCGTCTGTGTAAAACA